TTTGGTTTTAGCTTTGTTAAGCCTGCTTTTATTTCTATCTACTGTTAGTTGTTAATGCATTGCTACAGCAAGCCCATGGTGTTGGTAGCTGCCTAGTCATCTAGTTCTTGACTGCATAGTTTCAGCAAGCCGTTGGATGTTCTCCCTAATTTCTCCCAGATATTTTTATTCAAATGCTGTTAATTCACATTAAGTTGTGCTCAGTATTGTCCTTCCTGTCTGTTCCTTGGCCTCTCATCTGGCCGCACACAGGAATCATCTGTCAGGCACTTTGCTGATCTGTCTTCAATTCCTCCTGATTGTGCTCAGAAGCTTTTTCCAAAAAAGTAATTTTTCTTGCTATGGGGGAGCTTCTGTAGGTTAAGGCATCTCCATTTGCAATAATTCCAGACATCTGACAAGTGACTTTCTGTGGTAAATATGGATTGTGTGCTCACATTCAGCAGCAGATGAAAGATGATCTAGTAGAAGCAAGCTAAAAATTGATTTTTGGCTGCAAGTACTCTTTGTCTCGCCTGCAAATGTGCTGGTAACGAAGAAAACAAAACTCTTCCCATCTGGCTATTATCACTTCTCTTCCTGCCTTTTTCTGCTCTCCTCTTAGTTTTACTTTTCTAAGTATAAGGAAGGAAAAGTTGCCTCCTTTGGTGGGTCCTGTTATTATTATTATGCCTATAAACAAATAATATATTGACAGTGCATTGTGGAGCTTAGTTTCTTTCCAAAAGGTATCTTCTAGAAAACACATCTTCAGATCAGAGGGGCCACAGTGTCCTATCTGTTCGGTCCACACCTCATGTTGGGGCTGGAAGTCAGGGTTAGCAGAGGTTGTGGGAGAACAAAACTCTTTTGGGAAGCCCTGCCCAGGTGTTTCCCTTCCCTCAGCACCTGGCTGCAGAAGATGATGCTAAAGAGTGGCTTGGAAAGGTGCCCCAAAACTGCTGTTCAGCCGCAGTGCAGGAAGGATTGGTTATAGGAGCACTGATGGATGTGAGGATGGGGGATGCTCCAGATGTCCAGCTTTTCTCTTTAAGCTGGAGATTTTCAAATACAGCAGAAATTTTCAAATTGTGCATTGACTTTACTCCTGTATCTCTGCCAGTCTGACATAAGAAAAGTGCGCTCTATACTTAAAGTGTGACTCAGAGAGACATCTCAGAGTGCTTATGGCTGGGGAGCGATAAGTAGCACATTGTGAGAGGTATTAGTTCATTGAACTTTCTACTTAGCTCCTGGCTTCATGGTTCCTCTACAGACTCTCTTGAAAAAACGAAATGGTACCTCTGTTTTGACTCTCACCGAAAGCTGTTCTCATTGTACCCCTTTCAGTGAGTTAATTCCATTCTACTTCTGGCACCCAGGGTTACCAGAGATTAATGACACTTCTCCTTACATCAGCAGGAGCAAGCTTCAACATAAAGCCAAGAGATAAACTCTTCTGGTCTGCTCCAGCCGGGCACAGGGGTGATGGGGTTGCAGGCAGACTCCAACATGCAGAGCACAATGAAGGAAGGGAACACTGGCCTTGCTGGCAGCGTGGGAGATGGGGGTGTACTGGAGCACTGTGGTCTCCAGGGACCAGAGCCAAGTTGGTGAAATGAAGTGCAGGTGCAGGAACTCCAGAGAAGCTGTGCCCAGCAGAGGGGCTGGACAGCTTTATTTTTCTGTTCAAATGCTTCCAAAAAATGGATGTTCTCCATCTCGAGAGATGAGTTGGATGTTTTTGTTTTGAAGCTTTGCTTTTCTAGGTGCCACCTTGTAATGTAGGGAGCTGCTGGAGGGGAAAGAAAATCACATAAATCAGTGAGTGTTTGATAATGTTCTTCAAACAAAATAGAAGAACAGTCTAAAAAAGTAAGTGAGGACTGTAATGGTGCAGATAACGGGGATGTTGTGATAATAATATTAAGAGCTGTTGATTTGTGAAATTCATGTACTTTAGTTCCTAATTATGCAGTTACCCGTGTACGCTGAAACGAAGCCTCAGGTCGCCCAGTCAGACCAGTGCTGTATTAATGATTTCTCTGCAGCCAAAATTGTGGCAGATGACCACATTTTTTTGGGAGGCAGTAACAGAATCATTCAGATGGCTGTTTGAGCCTTTGTACTTGGCTCAAGATCACTGTCTTATTTAGTGCTGCGTGGTAGATTTTCTTTCAAATTAAATTGATGTAAGAACAAGTTACTGAAACATAAACAAAACTCACCGAGTTTGAAAGGGAACCTGCTGATTAAAATGTGCTGAGAACTAATGAGCGGAGGTAGAGCAAGTACATTTATATTCCTCTGCTCGACTGGAAGTGACTGAAGTGAAGGAAACATGTAAAACATTTCCAAGAAGATCTTCACTGAGAATAAAAAGGTATTGATGAAAAACTAACAGCAGTGGTGTCTCCCAAGTTCTAGGACATTGTGTTCTCTCTCCTCTGCTGTGTGTAGGTAAATGAATAATCTGTGACCAACATGAGAATGTCGGGGAAGGGGAGAACTGGGATTGCTTGAGTGAGCTGAGGTGGAAGTAACCTCTGAGGAGTGTCTCCATCCCTGGAGAAAGTTGCTTTCTTTTCAGTTTCTGCTGTTACTTTAATGGAGAGGAGAGGCTACACTGCAGCGTGTTAAATTTGAATAATACAGATTTACCTGTGGATGGTGCAAACTTTGAAAAAAATGATGCAACTGATGCATTGAGAATGCTGTTAACCCCCAGAGGTTTTAAAGGCAGGGTTAAGGGTTTCAAAGACCCTGTCTTTTCAAAGACAGGGTACCAGTTGAAGGTATATAGCCTACTGTCTTTGTTTCTTGAGATAGAGATTGAGGAGTAAAAAGGGATAGAGATGGAAACTGGATGGGAATATTAGTCCAGGTCCCAAATGACAGGAGGAGCTCAAGTGTTTGTCCAGATCGCTTCTTCAGCGTTATGAAACCTTAGTCATATTCAAAGGGTGAAAGTGTAACTTTAGGACTAAGTTGTTGGTATTCACCATATAGATATGTCTAGTAACTGGGGTATGGGTGTGCTTGTCCGTTAGCTGGTAAGGTGTGTCTATCCTCCCTTGCTTAACTAGCTCCACCAATGATTACAAAGAGGTCATTAGTGTAAAATACTGTGTTGCATCTTTTTTGCTCTCTGTTGCCCTTGGATCAGGGTCAGAGACAAGTCTCTGCACTTCTATGAGTACTGCAGTGGTTTCTGAGCCAGCTGCCTGATTAAACTACAAGAAGTGGAGAGGGAGAGAGAGGCAGTAGTCTTGTCTCTTCAGTCTTAATGCTGTCCTAAATACATGTACTTTGTTCATCACGCAGTGAATCAAAAAAATTTGACTCTATGAGAACAGATCTGTGGCAGTCTTTTGAAATGTGCCATAGCTGCTTGTGTGAGCTTCAAAAATGTGGGATAGCAGGCAGTCCTTAAAACTATGTAAGCAGAAGGTTGGAAAAAAAAAATCTTATTTGGAAATTGGCTCTGGGACTGTAATAGGTTGATTTCCAATCAAGGTGAGGGGCTCACTAAAACTCGGTGGGGGTAGTAAGTCACATTAGTCCTCAGAGTACAATTCCAGCAATTTAAATTACCTGAACATTTCTTTTTTTATTACAGATAATTCCTGACCTCTCTGTTTGTACTTCTGTGGATTTCAATCATAATGTAATATGAATTGATTTCTGTCCCTGAGAGCTAATGACAGACCCAGTTTCTTTGAATTGCTCAAATTGGTTATACTGTGTATCTCATGCAAAGCCAAAGGACTTATTATCCAGGATAAAGCCAGCACCTAGACAGGGAAGTCAAAGTCAAATCTCTTTGTTGGCTTCCTGGTGACTTCCAGTCCATTGAAATGGTTAAGATATTTGAGTAAGTGTACTAAATCATCAAAAAATCTTTGTGATCCTACGCAGGGCATTTTATGTTCTCCAGATTCAGGAGTATTTCAGTTAAGACCTTGTTCCCCAGTGGAGGCTAAGCAGGTTGATTCAAGATGCTGGGTGCTTCCTCTTTATTTACCTTCATCGCCATTCTGCTCAGCACCCCAGAGGTCAGGATCACAGTTAGAAATTGCTGGCTAACTTGTGGCAGGTACTGAAAAGCATTTATCTGAGCAGAGCTATTGAAAATAGAAGTCAGATTCTTTCTAGCAACCTGTACCTTTTTTTTCTTTTTTTTTTTCTTTTTTTTTTTTATTAAGTTACACTGATTTTGTTTTGTGTTACGTTGTTGAACAAGTTTGTGCGTGCTGATGCTTGGTCTTGTCAATGGAAGTATTTTGGAAGTCACTTCCTCAGTGTCGTGTGTTTTTCTTCTTCTCAGCCTGCTCTTGAGGCATCCCCCAGAGCTCCTGACCTGGCATCCTGTGCCATCCTCCATATCCCCTTCACTGTAATCATGCTTCCCCTGTGCCTTTTCACTCATAGGCCACCACATTCTCTCTGAGTCTCTTTCTTTCTCTACTCTTTGGCTGTCTTCAATCTGTGAACTCTTAAAAACTGAGAAATATATTACAAATTTATTACACAATCTGTATGTTCTGATTTTGATAGAGTTACTCTGGCTTAAGATGGCACAGATAAGTGTAAGATGTGGTCTTTGGGTCTTAATGTGCAAATAAAGTCTAAATCAAGCAATAAAAGATTCAAAGTACTACTTTTAGTTTTAAACATATTTTTCAACCAGCAGCACACACAGTGTGTCAAAGCAGAAGGCCAGTTGAATCTTGTTTTCATTACTAGCTAGTAGGAAATGCACTGACAGAGGTTTTTCCTGATAATTCATATAATTATTTTGCAAGGTAAGTATTAAGTTGCAAAAGGGACAATGAACTTCTACTTTCCCTAACCATTGTTAGTGTGTTAATAACATGCCATTTTTAAACTTGCCTTTAGGAGCTCTGCACAGCATGTTGTGCCCACTTTCATATAGAGATACTTTGTGCTCGAGTTTGTAATAGCCAGAAATATCAGTGCCACTCCAGTGTAATACAGGTTCTCATTTTTATTGTTTCCAGGTTTATTCCAATTTATAGGGGGCCAAGTCATACGTACAAGATACAAAGGCTGACAGAATCCACTTGTTACTCGTTCAGAATACAGGCGGTCAATGATGCTGGAGAGGGACCTTTCTCAGAAATATGTACCTTCTGCACAACTAAGTCAGTCCCACCTGCAATCAAAGGTATGAAATTGATTTTTTTTTTGTTTTACATATAATTATTTAAGTAATTGATAAGTATGCAGTGAGCTTGTAAGTGTTAACATAAGTATGCAGTACCACATGTGGAAAATCAGTTTGTGCTACTTGTATGTTTCTGTGAATTGTGGAGTTACATTATGGTGGGAAGCTAAATCGTCACCAAAAGAAATCATAAAACAATAGAAATCTTATACCAGACGCTGTTTTTATACATAAACTGTTAGAATGCTGCTGCTAACAGTAATGTTTATCAAGGGATTGCTCTGCTTTACCACAACACTTCTATAAGGGATGTAACAGCATTAGTTTATATGTGTACATACCAACTTAAGCCTTAGTAAAGTTGTATGTTGTTGTAAGTTGTGTAAGTGATGTTCAGCGTAGCACTTCAGAGTTTATTTTTCCTTTAATTTATAAATTAATACTAATATTTCACATACATGAAGCATTAGATTCTCACTTAACACGTGTTCCCCTTGAAGAACAAAAAGCCCAATTAAATTAAGTTTTATAATGAAACATCTTTTACTGTGTATAAATTTTGGCCTAAGTAATTTTGCTCCTTCCTTCCAAGAACTATTACAAAGGCAGTGGATTCGCTATATTGGCTGTCAGGTGAACTGAGCTGAAATCAGATGAACCTGCTTAAAACTCCTTTGTTGAGCGGTAGCATTTACTGTGGGAAACAGCAACTGTGAGATTGTCTGAGGTGTTTCATTGGCTCAACTGTGTTTAAAATCTGGCTTTGGTGATTTTCACATAATTTGTGATGAAAGATTTAGTGGTGTTTCTGGAAGAAGGTATCTGTATGTGTTTGGTGTAAAGTTCAAGGGTAAATGAACCTACTCACCAGTGAATTATCCTGATTCAGTCGTAAGAGATGCTGCCCAGCAAAGTGAAGGGAGCTTGTGCTGGATGAATGTCCTGGTTTTTGCTAGGATAGTGTTAATT